TTCCTCTAAACACCTGGTGCATCTTATTTCATTCAGTCCTCACAAGAGAACCATGTCAGGCATACTCTCATTAGCATCACTTTATGGGGGAAAGACCTCAGAGAGGTTCCCAAAGCATTGCCATGCCCGTAGATATTTCCTATTGCCTTTCGTAATAAATTCCAGAAAATCCTGTCTTACCAAAACAGCTAACAATATCTTCAAACTTGTTTCCACAGTCTACAAATATATTAAGCGCAATGTCAAAATAAAGTAAATCTTATTTTTTCTTGGAAAAATAAGCCTGTGGGAAGTTTATCATTTTCTAATTTACATGCTAACTTTAGCTTGTATCTACTTACCGACAAGGCTGCATAATCATTGGTGTTTTGTCTTAGTCTGATAAGGAAGTAAGGAGGCAATCAAATGAAAAAGGGAAATGTATTCTAATTACAACAGAAGAAACATTCAAAGCAGCAAAACTAAATACAGAATAAAACAAGAAGAGTATGTGTGCTGCTATATCAGAAAGGCATTAGCTACCACAGGCATGTGATGGTCATTTCATTTTGAAGATTTGTAGGTGAGCTTTTACATACACATTAATCAGATAAGTTTTTCTCCAAACATTTGTACACTTAGTGAAGCTGAACTGTCATCATTAACATAATGAGCTTTAGCAGTTACTAAATGTGTGTTGAACTGGCAAATTTAACAAATTCTTTGCTCTAGAGCAGTGGCTCTCAAACTTTAATTAACAATAATAATATTAAGAATTAAGCAATAAGTTAAAATGCAGTTTGAGCTACAGAAATTATATTAGGTCTACAACATGCACTGAACCTGAACATTTAGCAAGTAGTGCTAGATGATTCTAATTCAAAAAGAAATAAAATGTCTATTTCTTCATAAGTAACAACATTATGGAGAACACAAGGTTCTAAGGGTGCTCTGAAAGGGTAAGTCACTATGTTCCAACATAATTCATGTAGCTTAAACTAAATTCTTTAAAGAATGAAGGCTTGCATCTTACAGCAAATTAAATATATTTTGTTCCCTAAGAAGTGAATAGTAAGCCAAAGTAAAAACTAAATTACTGGTCACAATTTAACTGCATATAAGCCTCTGCTGGCTTCTTCTTTTAGAATATCAATGATTAACAAAATATCAATTTCTTAAGTTAAAGGATTAAATTAAAACACTGCTTATTTTTTAAATTATTTTATTTTTCTTACTTTTTTTTCTTGTGGAGATAGAGTCTATGTGGCATAGTAATCAGATAAATTTTCTCCAGTTTATGATCCTCCTGAGAGCTAGGACTACAGACATGTACCATCCATTACATTTCAAGAATAAATGCATAATGTTTAGGTATCATTAAAAACTTAGCAGAGAAAAGTACTAACTTAGAAGCGTGAGTCAAGCTTTCGTTAGCACAGTTGAGCTCAGAGCCTGCTAATTAGTGGAAGTTGAACTTCTAGTAGAGATGAGACTGGACATCAAATACACAAATGTAAACTTGGGAAAATTCAGCCACCTAAGCGAACGAAGCTTGCACTTAGTAGAGCTGACAACTGCTGGCTACGAAATTCATACTTCAGGCAGACTGGGCTGGACTCTAGATAGCCACTAAGTCCTTCCTAGATTTAACTTCCAATAACTTTTCTGATTAATTATGCCATCATACTCACTTACTTAACTGTTTTCCATAATCGTTAAAGTATATATAGATATAATGGGAAATACATATGTCACAGAATCAAGGCAAAATGCAGTTAAAATTTTAGCAACTTTGTTAAGAAAAGTCAGTCACCAGCAAGACAATCCTATTAGTCATCGGAACTGGGTTCCTTCCGTCACTGCTCATATTATACTACTTTTAGAGGTTTCAAGACAGGGTTTCTCTGTGTAGCTTTGGCAGTCCTGGAACTTGCTTTTTAGAACAGGCTGGCTTCAAACTCACAGAGATCTGCATGCCTCTGCCTCCTGAGTGCTGGGATTAAAGGCGTGTGCCACCATTACAGAATATGAATTATATTCAGTGAAGCACACAAATATTGCATAAACAGTCTACATTTAAAAATTAACACTAATAAGAAAAGTTGTAAATATATATTCTTGCATTTTAAATATAATTCTTTCTGGTCACATAAAAGAAAAGATAATAAAAAGCCAATGGTTCTACTCTTGATTTTAAAGTTCCCTCTACAGTTTACAGTCAAGAGAACAGGTATAACTCACAAAAACTGAACCAACAAAGGAAAAGAAAGTCCTGACTTTCTAGCACCCACATGGAGAGTCAGAACTACTTGTAACTCTAGTTCCAGGGACTTGTACACTCTTTGCTGGTCTCTGCCTGCACTGAACACATGTGATGCACTTACATTACATGGAGGCAAAACACTCATGCACATAAAAATCAATATGGTAGATAATATGTTTTGCATCCAAATATAGAAGCAAAATAGACAGTACCAAATCAGCTTTTAAAAGGATAAATTATTCAAAAACAGAGAAAATGAAGACAAACAGGGAAAATCAAAAAATGCTTTCTGAAAGACAGGTGATGGAGCAGTGCAGAGAAAGCCACTGTCCGCTGCACACGACTGGAGAACCACAGTGCAGCTGGAAGCCAGCTGTACAGGCACAGGGAAGGCAAATATGACAGCAATGGACATGAGAGTGGAGAACAGGGAAAATAAGCTGGAGAGCAACCTGAGGACAGCTGAAGCTGTAGATATAGGGAGAAGAAAGGAAGGAGAAAGTAAAAAGAGGGAAAAGGGTAAAGAGGAGAAAGGCAGGACAAGGCAGGGCAGAGCAGGGCAGGGGATGGGAGGGCATAAGAGAAGGCAGGAGGTAATTTTGTGGAATCAGTGGAAAATGAAAATAGTCCTTTATTCAAAAATTTATGAACTTGAAGCTAAAAACAGCAGAATATCAAATCCTATTCAGAAGTCGCCGGTCTGGGGAAGACTACAGTTGCACAGGTCACATGCTAAAGAAAGTGGCTCCAGGGGACGGCCCAGCGGTTAAGATCACTAGCTGCTCTTACAGAGGACTCATGTTTGGTTCCCGGCTCCCACAGGAGCCAGCTTACAGCCAGTTACAGCCTGTAACTCCTGCTCCAGAAGATCAGATGTTCTCTTTTGTCCTCTATGGGCATCCACACACATACACACAAATGTACACACATAACACCTAAATAAAAAGATAACAAATCTTTAAAAAAGAAATCAGTCCTGAAAACATAAACTCATGACTAACTTCATTCCTGCTTGTTCTAAGGAGAAGAGCCCTAAGCAAAATGCTAAACAAACAAAAAAGTATATATAAATAACCCAGTCAGACTCCTACTCAGGGAAAAAGATTTAACAAATGCATGTATATAAACATGCACGCATATGCACACACACAGTATTTATATATAACAGTAAAGTAAAGCCATGTCAATTCAGCAACTGTTCCTTGCTAAAACCAAAATAGAAACTATGGGATTTTCACAGTGTGGGAGAAAAGTTTCCTCCATGAAAGTCTGTGAATAAGAAGATTTAAGGAACACAAGGAACATACTATATTCCAAAGACAGACACAGAAGAGCATCAGGAATCATGAAAGGGGAGGCAGAGGAGCTGAAAAGAATGGAAAACACAAAGGTTATGCAAAGAAAAGTGGGTAACAGGCTGTAGTTCCAACCCTGGCTTTCTGGATATGAGGACCCAAAGCCAAAAGCACAAGGTAAGCCAGGCAGTCCAGGGAAGGCTAGCAGTCCTGGTCACAGGACACGCCCACAGTTGCCACATGCCTTGAACCCAATAGTCAGGTGAGCAGATGGGGAAATTTGGTATGGCAGTGATAGCTCAGCAGGGGAAGAATTCATTTTTGTCACTGTGGTGGTGTGAAAGAAAGTGATCCCCAAAGGGAGTGGCACTACTAGAAGGTGTGGCCTTGTTGGAAGAAGTGTGTCACTATGGGAGCAGGCTTTGAGGTCTCTTTTGCTCAAGTTTCCCTTAGTGTGGCAGTCAGTTGACTTCCTGTTGCCTGCAAGATACAGCACTCTCAGCTATTCCTCTAGCACCACATCTGCCTGCACATCACCATGCTCCTCATCATGATATCAGACTAAACCTCTGCAACTGCAAGCGAGCCATCCCAATGAATGCTTCTTTGTAAATGTTGTCCTGGTCATGGTGTCCCTTCACAGCAATAAAAACCCTAAGACAGTCAATCTCTACAACTTGGGGAGTGCTACAGCCAGGCACAACCTTAAAAGGGGCATTGTTTGAGCTAGATAAAGGCAGGATGAGTATGTTTTAAATACATGATATATGTATAACTATGTCATAATGAAACTCATTATTTTATAGAACAAAAATAATTTAAAGGGTTTTTTCTTCCTGAATATTTTCTTTAAACTATTCTATTTAACTATTTACAACAAAAGAGCAATTGATATTGGAAACACTGGGGTTGCTTTCTCATTTCAAACAAAAGAAATAGCTAGTAGTATTTCTTTAGGTTCTACAATAAATATTTTATTTTTAAATTCAGCTATATCTTATGCGATAGGACGTGCTGATTAGTTTTCTGTCAACTTGATACAAGCTAGAGTCATCTGGGATGGATGGATGGATGGATGGATGGATGAATAGACAGACTGACAGACAGACAGACAGTTTAAAATAGCTAATATTTTCTTGTACCCTGTAAGCTAGAAAAAAACAATTGATTATACTGACTTTTATACAAACTCCTATTAAAGATTATTTCTATTTAAATCTATACTGTTGATTTCACGGGTTTGTTTTTGCTTTTAACAGGAAGCTATAGTTATTTCAGTTAAAAAGTACAATGAATTAAAACCTCAGACAACTTCAGCTAGATTCTTTATCAAGTGATTTATAATAATAGAAAAATAAATGCACAAACTAAGAGGTTGCTTTAAACAGGAAAGCACCCAATATTAAATCTGAAGATGGATTTTAGAAAGCAAACTTACAATATCAGAAATGGTTTATACTTACAGGCAAATGAGTGAACACTTGAAAGATGCTCCTCAAAAAATTAATAAGATCCATTAAATAACCACTTGCTCTTCCATCCGACTCAGCCATTGTCCAGTCATAATCAGCTAGCTGAACAAATTCGTCAATTTTTTGATTGAGTTTGGTATATATTTCCCCTTCTGCTGCATGTCGAGCATCCTGAGGAGACAAAAGACAGCAGTAAGAAACAGTTACAGAAGCAAGTGTCCTTAAATTTTTAAATTTTAAGTGTTTTGTTTTATACAGTGAAGGTGTTTTCTGATACCTCAAAGCTGATCTGAATGGTGTCACGTTTGCTTTCCTTCCCAATTCTAATGTCAACCTTTTGGTCTTAAGAGGCCTGTCTTTGTTTCCTTCCCTACTGCTGTGGTGAAACACCCTGACAAACCAACTTAAGGGAGACCCTGTTTATTCCATTCATCACACACGGATGCCAGCTGCTGCTCAGTAACCTTTCTTTACATACAGAAATCCCAGATCCCAGCCAGAAGAAGGTGCCACTCACAGTGCCTTCCCTCCTTCCTCAATTAAACAAGAGAGTCCCCTACAGGCATGCCCAGTGGTTCATCTCCAGGATGATTCCAGATTCGTCCAGCCCAAAATACATCACATATGAACCCCTGACTTGTTCTCCTAACAGCCTATGAGAACGGCCCTTAGGAAGAACAGAAGCCAGAAAGCAGAGGTTGTTGAGAATGCAGACACCACACAGAGTCACTAAGGGAAAGTAAGTTGGATATCACAGAGAAAATGGAAGATAGTTGTCTTCATGGATGGCTTGTTTTAGAATCTTCCTCCCGTTACAAACAATAAGTTGAGGTCCCTTATAAAATGGTATAGCATTACTTATAACTTAAGTACATGCTCCTGTATATTTTGTCTGTCTGTCTGTCTGTCTGTCTGTCTGTCTGTCTGTCTGTCTCTCTCTCTCTCTCTCTCTCTTTCTGAAACAAGGTTTCTCTGTGGCTTTGGAGCCTGTCCTGGATCTACCTCTTGTAGACCAGGCTGGTCTTGAACTCACATAGATCCACCTGCCTCTGCCTCCCAAGTGCTGGGATTAAAGGTGAGCACACAATACCTATTACAGTATAAATTCATGCAAATTGACTCCTAATTGAATGTAAATACACGCAAATCAACTCCAGCCACATTATCAGGGATATCTTTATTTGACCTAAATCAGGGTTCTCTGGGGCAAAAATCCCTTTCCCCATGGGGAAACAATTAGGGGCATTTTTTTTAATAAAGAGGATACCTATGATGTTATAGTTTTGATTCATAAATGGTTAACCAAGAGCTAAAAAGTAAGCATTGGAAAATAACACGTCCAGAGACATCTTTTAAAAACTCCAACATATAGTGAGTGTGGTGGCCCATACTTCAATTCCAGCAATCAGGAGACAGGACAGACAGACCTCTGTGAGTTCAATGCGAACCTAGTCTATGTAGTGAGCTCCAGGTCAGCCAAGAATACACAGTGAAACCTTGTCTGAAAACAAAACAATAACAATAACACAAACACACAACAACAATAACAAAATCCTTTGACATTTTCCTGGAAAACTGGAAGAGTTTTTCTCTGGGGCAGGGTTCATGTCCAGAAAGGGCCTGAGAGGGTCTTAGCTCTCATTAGGACTCCCTGAAAGCTAAAGCAGAATCATTAACTTCAGTCTCAGTTTTTAAGGCATGCCCCAGCACACACACAGAGTCTCTCACAAGACATGGATTTAATGATTCTAGGCTTTCAGGGGCCTCTCCATCTAATCACTAGCTGACCGTGAAGCTAAGCAAGTAGACCAGGGCCACACAAAGAAAATAGACTTCACAAGTTCAATCCAGAAAAATAATAAAGTGCCAATAGGAGGACCAACAAACCCAAGGATTAAGGAATACCCATGTCCAAAACTGCCTTATTATTTCATTTTAAATGCCTGGTATCAATAAAAATTACAAACCATATAACAGATAGGAAAACATGGCCTCTCTAAGAAAGAGAGAGCAACCAGTAGAAGAATCTTTGACGAAGCCCAGTTACTAGACTACAAGACAAAACTTCACATAAACTATCAAAACATGGACAAAGAGCAAAAGGAAACCTTTAAAAACTCTTTAGTCAAGCAGTGGTGGCACATGCCTTTAATCCCAGCACTCCTAATCCCAGGAGGTAGAGGCAGGAGGATCTCTGTGAGCTTGAGGCCAGCCTGGTCTACAAGAGCTAGTTCCAGGATAGGCTCCAAAGCTACAAAGAAGTCCTCTCTTGAAAAAACAAAATCAAAAACAAACCTCTTATAAGAAACAAGGAAAATACCTCAGTAAGTAAGTAACTATAAACAGTCAAATTACTAAGATGCATTAAGTTAAATGGGAAAGAATCATTAGAAAGGTTCAGTATCTGATGGAAGAAACAGATGATGAGCAATATAAAGCAACTAGACCTAACACAAATCTGCAGCACACTCCACTCAGCAATAGCTGGCCACATATTATTTCCTAAAAATAGAAAAAGATGAACTTAAAGGTTAAACACAGATTTCACAGCTGTGTTGATTTCTCAGGAGACAGGGAAGGGTACCTGTAAGGGACAAATGTAGACATGGCATTCAGAATAAAGACACAAGCCTGGATGAGCACAGGACTCTGACCTCATCTGGGCAGGTTCTTTATGCAGCAGTTGGCAGTTAACACAGAAACTGACAACTTGTCCAAGTGCAGAGAGTAAGTGCCTGGGAAGTGTTAAGCATCAATGAGACATTTATACCATGCCCCCATCCCTCAAAGTTCGGGGACTATCTCAAAAGAAGGGGCAGAAAGGTCTAAAAAGAGGGTTTGGGAGAAGACGAGTAAAACTCTGTCTCTTGGACACAACAGGACCCTTGCACACACTGGCTCAGAGCAGCTGTGACTGCCTTCACAAGATCTGTACAAGATTAGGCCAGTCAGTATTCCAGCAGGTAGTGAAGAGGCATTCATGAGCCCCCACCCCTAACTGAGGAGCTACTAACAACTGATGGCTGATGGAAGAGGAAGTTTTCTTTAAAGGTGTTACCCTGGTAGGTTCTCACTAAGCCCTACACCTCTGAGTATATGACTCAGTGGGATAGAAATAAAAATAAAAAGAATACATGAAGTTGGGAGGGAGAGTGGATATGGGAGGTGTTAGGGAGGAGCAGAGGGTGAATATGACCTGTAGGGAGCCACCTGGAGAAATCGCCATTATAAGATGGCGCAGGTGGTCCTGCAGCTTGGAGGTAAACAATTCCTTATTTGATGTTGTCGCGTGGGGCTGAGCACCCTTTGCCTGCACTTGCGCAATTGAGTCTTGTCCCTGGCCAATCCCAAGGCCCCGGACACCAGCAGAATGGTATTCACCAATCAGGACAGTACCCGAGTCCCTCCACCCTACAAAAGCAGCTGCCGCTTGGCTTTCGCGCTCTCTCTCGCTTTCTCTCTCTCTCTCGCTTTCTCTCTCTCTCTCGCTTTCTCTCTCTCTCTCTCTCTCTCTCTCTCTCTCTCTCTCTCTCTCTCTCTCTCTCGCTTTTCGCTCTCCCTTCAACCAAGAGGCTCCAATAAAGTGTAATTTGAGAAGGATCCTCGACTTCGTGGTCGTTCTTCCTTGCTGGTCAAGGGGCGCGCCACAATGACCAAAATTCACTGTGTACATGCTTGAAATTATCAAAGAATTAACAAAAATATTTTTTAAAAAAAGTATTTATGATGCAAATAAAAATAAAAATATATGTACTAAATAAATAAAATAAATGCAGAAAATATAATCATGAACCCTTACCATTCTTTGTTTATATGCCCTTAAAAACTTCTTCCAAATAGATACTAGACAAAAAGGCAAATCTGAATGATTAAAATGTACCATGTCTAGCTTTGGTGTGTTTGTGGGGCCCATTCCACTTTTCACACTGCCCAACCATTTCCTTTCTCTGCCACACCTGGAGGGCAAGGAAAGCCACGCCCTGGGCAGCTTCTCCATCTATAGGCTTCACAGTAGGACTGGAACAGGAATTGCAACAAGGATCTTCTCTCTCTATTCAGAGGTCTAATACAGATATGACATAAACAATAAAAACTTTCAACGGTATCTCTTGCCAGATGTGGAAGAAAGTAAACATGGTATTGCAGGTGAAAGAAGAACTTAAGGTAAGTTAAAAAAGTGTCTTAGCTTTAAGTGTAAAAAAGTACTAAGTGTGATAACAGCAATGAGTTCTAACTCAGCTTTCAGTAACCTATCCTCCCTGAAAAGTCTAATGCAATTAAACTCAGAGAAATCTTTTTTTTTAAACATACTAATCCCAGTTCCCCCTCCCTCCTCTTCTCTCTTTCTCCCTACCTTCCCCACATCCCACCCCTCATGGTCTCCTCAGAGCGGGTAAGGCCTCCCCTGGGAAGTTAACTAAGTCTGTACAGATCCACCCACCCCCACCCACATGTCTAGGCTGAGCAAGGTATCTCCCCATAGGGAATGGGCTTACACAGCTGCTGTGGAAATCAATATGACAATTTCTCAGAAAATTAGGAATCAATCTACCTCAGCAATAACACTTTTGTGCATACACCCAAAGGAGGCACACTCACACCACAAGGACATTTGTTCGACTACGTTCATAGCAGCATTATCTGCAATAGCAAGAAACTGGAAATAACTAGATGCCCCTCAACTGAAGAATGGATAAAGAAAAGGTGGTACATTTACACAATGGAGTACTACTCAGCAGTAAAAAATACCTTGAAATTTACAGGCAAATGGACAGAACTAGGAAAAAAAATCCTGAGTGAGATAACCCAGGCCCAGCAAGACAAGTATAATATGTACTTGCTCATAAGTAGATTCCAGACATAAAGCAAAGGATAACCAACCTACAGTCCACAACTCCAGAGAAGCTAGAACCCTCATCCAGAAATAGATAGATGGTGTGTGAAGTCCTTCTGTCTATGTGTTGCTTTTATTGGTTAATGAATAAAGGAACTGCTTTGGGCCTATAGCAGAGCTATAGGGGAACAGAGCTAGGTGGGGAAAACTAAACAGAATGGTAGGAAGAAGAAGGCAGAGTCAGAGAGACGCCATGGAGCTGCCAGAGTCAGACATGCCAAAACTTTGATGGTAAGCCACTACCACGTGGAAATACATAGATTAATGGAGATGGGTT